CGAAACCCTAGTGGTCAGAGATTGGAAGCTGTGAGAAATTCACACATGCTCACCACCACTGATCCATCAGACATCAGCAAACCAGTCACAAGAGATGTATGCACTCATAAGGCAAGTACACCGCAGTTGACCTAAGCCACAGAAAACCCTTTTCCAGGCTATGTTTATCTCCTTTGTCCCTAAATCTACTAAGTCTGACAAGTGAAAAAAAAAAAATCTGCAGGTGCAAAATAAAGGGGTGTAAGGCGTAAAAATATGAACTAGTAGCTGAATATTCACAGAGGAAAATAATCAAGTCAGTTCTTGCAGACAGATAGCTCACAATGAGAGGAAGGAAAAGAAGGAAAGTGCTTTCCCTGTTAACATTTATGTTTCCCCATTATAATACTGCATGAATATCTGTTGGCAAGTTCAAAACTCAGCTTCTTAAAATAGAATTACAGGATCCTGATGTGAACTTTTTAAACTGCTTGTCATTAATTTACTGGTTGGCTGCTCTAATACTAAGCCAGCAACACAGGGAACATGACCACTAATCATTAAGAAACCTTGCTGCTGAGGGCACCACTCATCTGTCAGATGAACAAATGTCAACTTAGAGAGACTGAAATCTAACACACAAACTACTTTTACTTTTTGAAATACAAAGGCATTAGAAAACATGCCTGAACAACCAAAAGATTCCCACAATATCATTAGCTCACTTCACACTATTATTTTCGATTCAATGGTGGTGCAGGACCAAGACCTTCAAAACTTCAGGATGCTTTCTGCTACCAGAGACAAGAGATAACATGCTAGCTCAGAGCTTCATGCCATCAGCACCCAGCAGGAAGTTTTGGTTTACTCTGCAGCTGCTGTCAGCACTGCCTAGAAGATATAAATATATACACACATTATATATATATAGCTTTGACATCCTGAGTGTCCAATGTGTCTTCATGTGAAAAAGTTCTTCTGGCTGATGCTGTTGCTTACTTTCCTTGTTCCAGAAAAGTACTACTTCAAATGCTTTAGAGACTAGGCCATATCCAGTAGACTAGTCCTTTAAAACATGTTAAAACTGCAAAGTTTCTTTTTTTGTATAGTTTATGCCACATTTTTTTTATTCCTTTGAATTAACTGATCCAAAGAGAAAACAAACAAAGGCAATCTGTAGCATCAGAAGATAAGGAGTAATAAATAACTTTCTGCACCAACCACAAATACAACAGCAACCATGCTAGGTCAGACACAAGCCCCTGACAGTGAAGAAATAGTCAAAAGCAGATGGCTAGGGAAAAAAAAAAGAGCTTCAAAACATGGCAAGCATATGATACTTCTCACAAGTATTCTTCCATCTGTGGCTCATTTGTTTCTTTAAGTTGAATGCAATTTCCAAATAACTTCTCTCATAATCATCAAATTGGAAAACTGGAAATGTTGAACTATTTGCCATGAGCATTTACATAAAAAAGCCAATCAAGTCTGACAACTTCTGCACACCCCATTTGACAAGACTTGCGGATAAGAACATGAAAGATTTAGACTAGACTAAGCAGCTGATTTTTCCAAGATAAAGAGAGGTGTGAATGTACAGCCAAGAGAAAAAGAGTCCTCCCTGGAATAGCTGATTTGCACTTCAGTCCTAGCTTGGTAGAACAGGTCAGGTGTGCACACTGTGATTCACTGAGTGATAACAACACAGAAACATACATTTTAGAGCACTGTGGCAAGAAAATTTCATTCTTCCTGGGAAAGTGAGAGAAGTAATGCAATATCAACACAGTGATAAGTGAAAATGACACATATTTTAAATAACTCAGAAGATGCACAATTAAACTTGTGTCGTACTAATATCCATCCATGCTTAACTTTTGATCCATCACCACTACTGCAGATATTCTCATCAATCACTAAAGTCTAATCTTGTACAAACGAAACTCTGTATTACAGGAATGAAGCTTCAGTGGTTTACACTGCTACAGCCAAATGCCTGACCCATACCAGAACAACAAAAACCATACAAACCGAACTACAAGTAATATATAGGGGACTTCTGTGGAGACAATGGTCCCCAAAATAACATTGATAAGCAACAACAAAAATGCACATACATTCACATACTAAATATAACGCAAACTGAGAAAATTAAAAAAGAAGATGAATTCCAGTTTACCTGGTTCAATTATGTATCAAACTAGTAAAGCAGTTTGATACATAAGCAAGCACCCCCATTTTTCTAGGCCAAATCTTCCATATTTCTACAATGTACATTGTATAAAGTACTATTAAGGTATTAAGATGGATGTCTTGAGCTGGCACCCATTATTTAGGTAGGTAGGATGGATGCATACTTTTGTCATATTGCCATGCTAAAGAATTTTAAATCTCCTGGATGATTGTGTCTTGCTGGATTTCTCTATAATATCTGCACACACGTAATTGAAGAAAACAATGTATCTGTATTTGATAACCATGTCACTGCTTCACAAGAATGCAGTAGTAAGCAACTCAAGTTAATAAACAGACAAAAAAGCTAAATTTTAAACTCCTCCTTACTACATAAATTCCAAGTTTAGTTGGTACCCACCTGGTAGAGATAAGATAGGGAGACTATAGAGAGATAAGAGCCACAGGCCAAGGTCTACAGTTGTGGTTAGCAAAAGCATAAGGTCCGCACAAAATAAAAATAATAAATAAATAAATTATGCAGGCTTTTGAATCCCCTTGTGACTTAACATCAGGGTTACAAGTGTCCACGTGGTCCCTTCCTTCTTCACCCAGACAGGAGAAAGCATATATAAGCCCTAGGAGCTTCTATTTGTTCCAAGATTAATGAGACCCCCACATGCCCTAAAACAGTCTAGCGCCCGGTCTTAGCAACTTCCAAGTCAACAGAGAGGTGGTGAAAGAGTCCACACCTGCCTGTGAAACACAAGAGAAGGGACAGCTGGGCTCAATGCTCACTCCAACAATACATGTTATGCCTCCCCTGGTAAAATGCAGCAACACTTTTCAACAAGTGTTCTACACAGATACAGCTTCTGCAGCGATCCTGCTACAGAAGTCCTGCCAAGTCTTAGAGAGCAGCAGAGCTTCCACTGCAGTGTTACGGAGGCAGCAGCATCAGCAGTGGCCTGCTCCAGGGTACAGAGGAAACCATGGTCACTGGGAAGGCGATTGTTGAGTTCTGAACACTTGTGTTGCCCTGAGACAGGAATCACCTGGGTGCTTCATCTGGCACATGGAGAACCCAACTCTGGAGCTTTCCAGATGCCACGTAGAGCTGGTAGCCTGAAGCCTCAAATAACATGGACTAAAATACTGCAATAAGAATAAATGACTGAAAAAAAAAAGGGTTCTAAATGCAGACAAGCCTTGAAGGGACTTATTTTATTGTGTATGACAAAAAAAATCAGAAGGGTGTAATGGAAATTACCAAAGAACAACATCACCAAGATAATTCTGTTGAAATAAAGCCCACTATTAATCTCCCATGTGGGTCTGGCTTAATAGAAGCAAGCAGCAATTGCCCACAGGAGACTTCCCACAGTAAAACACATCAATTCCAAAATGGAAGTCGATTTTTTTTTTTTTTTAAAAATACTGCAAAGGACATAGAAAGTATGTTTAAAACAGAGCTACTGGTACAAAGCTTTCATCATAATTACAGATTAAGAAATGCAAGAAGCAAAAGTTCTTAAAAATCTCCTTCCCACCCCCCAAATGTGTTTCTGCATAATTTCTCAGCAGTTTCATTTCTCCCCTTCCTCCTTCTCAATTCCTGATGCAGGAAAAGCCATTTTGGACTAGGTTGTGACATGAAGTGACACAGCAAATGAACTTCCCTCCCAAACGTCATCAAAAGGAAATTGGAATATTGCACGATGCTGCAGCTCCACAAGTTTCACAAGGACACATAATCAGCATTCTTCATGTTGCCACTAAAAAAACTTCTAAAATCCAGCTAAACATGAAAATAAAAAAATATTGAACAAGATTATTTTTCCCCAAGATCCACTTAAGGGGCAAGAGCGTTTATAGACCTCATTTTTCTGGACAGTCTTAGTCCTTTACATGACAGGGGGGAGCTTCCTGACTTAATAATCAAGAGCAAGACATTCATATGACTACACATGACCACAACCCATACTCCTTCCTGCATCCCGGAGATGCTGCCTGCCACAATACAGCGGGCCAGACAGCCCCTTGCTGCTATCCCAGACAGAAACTGCCTGCAGCCCGTGCTCTCTGTGCATTAATTCCTTATGCTCTTATTGCTGTGGTGAAGGGGAACGCCACGTCTGAACGGCTGGTGAGCAGCGCACTTTTGGAAGTCCAAGTCTGACACCAGCTGATATCAAAAGGATACTCATCACCACACATCGAGAAGGGATGAGCAGAATCTGTAACCTCTCTAATTCCTACCTGAATTTGCCGTCAGTAGCAATCTACTCGGGTAAAAGAAAGCAAACCGGCGCCGCAATCTTCCCTGTACATTCACATTTCGCAAAGCAAGTCCAAAAATACTATAGATGAGCAGATGTAAGGCTCCTTCTGGCCCGTCAAAATCGTATTTCTTTTCAGACTTTGTCCTACTGCCAAATCCTATGTTTCAGGCGACTGACTTTACCGTAGTGCCAAAACAAGGCGCTAAGCACCAGGGCAGGGTTCCCGGGCCCGGCCTCCCGCGCCAGGGCACCGGGGGACCATCTCTCCATCTCCTACCCGCCGCTTCTCGGAAAGGTGAGGCTGTCCCGAGCCAGGACACCAGCCCGCAATCTTTCCCATCGACAGCTCGTACATTAGGGCAGAGCCAAAACTAGGGAAAAGAAAGCCATAGGCATCGTGACCCTGGCACAGAGGGTGCCGGGGGCAGCGCCGCTCTCCTCGGACTCGGAGGAGAGGGGCAGCCCGCCGGCAAACGCCGCCCAAATTCTTGGGAGTCCCGTTCCGCCAGGAAACGCCGGGAACCCGCGGGGCCGGAGCCCCGCTCCTCCGGGCCGCCCCCCGCTCACCTGCGGTGTCCCAGATGGAGATGTTGTACGGACCCCACTGCTTCAAGTAGAAGGCGCCGCCGACGGTGCTGACCGTCTCCTGGAAGCGCCGCTCCATGTAGCGGTGCAGCAGGGAGGTCTTGCCCACGTTCATGTCCCCCAGCAGCACCACCTTCCCGTCCGGCTTCTTCATCGCGGCTCGGCTCGGCTCGGCTCGGCGCGGCTCGGCTCCCTGCCGGCGGCCGCTCCCGCCCTCTGCCCCGGCCGCCCGCCGGCCCGGCCCGGCCCGCTCCGCCCGGCGGAGCCCCGGAAGCGGCGGGACGAGGGCCCGGAGCCGCCTCCGCCGGCAGCGCAAACTTCGGGGGCTCCGCCGGAGCCGCCGCGATCCAGCCCCGACTTCGGCTCCTGCTGCTCCTCCTCCCCGGGCCGGCCCCTCTCCCGCCCCCACCAGGGGGAGGGGACGCGGGCGAAGAGGCGGCCGGAGCTCCGCGAACCCCGAGCCCGGGCCCCCGCCCCTGCCCTGCCCCGCAGGAGCCGGGTGATGTGTCCCGGTCGCCTCGGGGTGGGGTGGCCGCTGCCGGGCTGCCGAGCAGCCGCCACTCGCGGGGGTATCGACTGAGCCTCCGGGGGATGCTGCTGCCTCCCGGGCTGCCTGCGTCCTTCCCGCCGGAGACCCCGCAGCCACCAGCACCACAGCCCTTCTGGAGCCCAACGGAAAGCCCGCTCATCCCGCTCGCCTCCCAGGGTGTACGTGGAGGGGCGGAAAGTTGCTCCGAAATTAGGAGCACAGTCAGTTGCCCAGCTGCTGTAATTTGGGTTAATTCCATTTCAGGTGACAGAATTGCAACTATTTAAATTACCCAGAGATCTAGCCTATCATTTTTACATCAGTCCTTTTTGTGCCAAATAAATCTGGAAAAAAAATATTTTAATAAGATATAAACATGCTACAAATTTGGAGCAAATAAAGGGATAATATGTAGACTACACTGTGGAGGGAAACAACTGTTACAGGATTTTTAAGAGAACTTACGAGTTAATAATTTCCTCTCCCTTTCCACACAATAGCAGCACTTTTCAAAATAAATAGACATACATCCTCATTCTTGCATGTCTCATGTTGAAACTGTTACAATTTCTTTAGCCAGTCTAAGCTTTGGATTTATGAGATGCTACGATTTTTGTTTACCTGCTAAAAGGGACTAGCTGTGTAGCAGTGTGGGGTTTTAAGCCATGCCTACTTAATTTTGCTTATTCTGCTTTTACTGCTCATATTTGTGGTTTTGCAGCTGTACCCAGTGATACATAATTTCAGTTCAGAATCAGATATACTCCAGATATTAAAGTACAGGAAATACGCAGAGAGGATGTTAAATTATTTGGTAAAAAAAATCTTACAAGTAACTCCAAAATATTAACATGAGATGTGATTCAGGACTATGTGAAATACTGTGTGAGGGGGAATTGTTATACTTTGATAACTGTGTGGCAGTATTTTTCTGTGGCATGTGCGGCCTTTGCTTCAGATTCCCATCTCAATCCCAGAGCTGGTAAACATACACTCATTAAATCAAGGTGCTTCTCTGAGGCAGTGCAAAGCAAGTAGTGTTCTTCCAGGTGCTTGGTATGAAAGTGTAAAAAGAACAGACATTCTTTTTGCATGCATACTTCTTGCAAATTCCCAAGTGCAATATAAGTTACACTCTTTTGAAGTGGCAGATGCCATTTCAGAAAGTGAAAAGAAAAATTTGGTATAAAATAGTTTGGACCATAAGGATCTATACCAGCAAAAAGATCCTGAGTTTATGTACTCTCACCTTATGCATTGTATTCTGTCTGCAGAATAAACACCTAAAAGCTTAAACACAATTATTGATTTACATCAGTGCTTCTGCTACCAAATGCTAGCAGTTAAAGCACTAAAGCAATTATTTCTGAATTTCACCAAAATTCTGCTGTAGTTGAATTATTTTCATGTACAAGTGAATTGTAGGTCTTTCTGGTGTTTGAAACAGGTATCAATAATTTCTAACAGTAATGCAGAGAAGTTAGGACAGAAAACAATTTCAGTAATACGGTGAAAATGCAACTGGGATTTTAGGTTTTGTTAATAATAAGCCCTATGAAAAGAGAAGCCCACTCCCTTCGCAGATGTTTTCCGCAGTTTCTTGAGACACGTACCTAAATCCCCACATTTTTGACTGTGTGTATTAACAGCTAGCAGCAGTCAGACAGACAGGGGACTCTCCTGAAAGTGTTAGCAGCTGACTTTGACGGCAATGTACTACTTTTGTATGTTAACCATAGCCTAGCTAAATGAGATGCCAAATCCATCTGGTCCAGTACTCATTTGGACCTGGGGTCACAGTCCCTCACTCAGGCAGGGATGTGCATTATCTCAGTAGTATGCATCTCCCATTCACCACTTAAAGGATTATCTCTGTTGCACAGCAATCTATGCCTAATAATCAGGTGCAATAGGATTGGAGAGTACTGGGTGTTGTTTCAGATCCCTGAGAGAATTTAGGAAAATTATGATCTGGACAGGTTCCAGGTATGTAGAAGGGCTCCTGAGGTAGGCCCTTAAAGACTCAAGTTTGTAAAGTCCTCAGCAGTCTGAGATCCCACTGACTTCAGGAAAACACCTTCATTAGGCACAGCACAGTGTCCTTGGTTATTACTGCCAGTGTCTCCTTGGATGAATGCACTCCAATCTACAGCATACAATTTAAGTCGCCTCTTGTTAAAGTCAAATGGCTCAAGATAGTCTGTAATGCAATATAAATAATAACAGAGCATATGTGAAAATATTTGGGAAAACATTAAGAGCCTTTAATTTGCTCTCTAACACTCAGATGCATCGGCCTGTTGCAAGATAATTTCCCAAAATCACTGAGACGTCTGTAGCAAGAGATCTTCACGGTAGAAGTATGGGCATGAAGAATGTCTAAAGTGCTTGATAGGAAGGAATATGGAATACTTTGCCGTCTAGGTAGTGCATGTATGTGGACTGCACATAGTGTCTGGTCTTTGTTTTTCATTTTTGAGCATCTGAAGAGGCCTTTAATTACAGTGAGGTTGTTCATTAATCTTCCTGACACCGTGAAAACATGGTCACCATGGTTGGTCTCCAGATATTCTGAAATTTAGACACTTGGGCTAGGATACAGAGGTGGATAACACATTAAAGTTTCTTAACCATTTCTGTGCTAGAGTAAGACCCTCTCAAGAGTAAGAATGTTAGCCTTGTACATAAGCCAAAAACCTGAGCCAATAATGACTGTACTGACGTCAGGGTAACTCAACCTTTCTAGTCTCGCACAGTATGAAAAGTGCTTAATGTTGCAGGAGAAAATTAGAGCCTGTTTATTTGTTTCCTTGCCAGCCTTACCTGGGTATTTATATACATTGTCCTGCCTATGGGCCCCATTTGGTCTCCAGGCTAACAGTACTTTGTAAGTTCACATGAGGTGAAATGTTCGCCACAGAACAGGGTTGTTTTTTGCTGAGCTGATCTTATTTTGGAGACAAACTGAGTAAGTGATTGAAGGCATATGTCATGTCAGCTACTAACTGCTGCCCCCAACATGTCACAGGTGTGCTGTGGCCTTTGTGTTCAGCACCATAACATGTCTCTTTCTTTTGTCTTCCAGCAGTGCCTCTGTCTTTTGGGATGTTGAATCTCCATGACTAGATGTGTGCTTTCTGGAGATACTGCAGGGGACCTCAATGGGATTGTTTGTAATGATAAAGGCAGTACAAACTGCTGAAAGAAACATGCTGCTTTTTAAAGACATATGAATCCATAACTTAGAGGCATGTATCTCAGTTATCTAGTGAATCCTAGTCAAGGTTTTGTGAAACAAGGAGAAGGGCAGTAAGAGAGGCTTATCCCTTGTCCTCAGTACGTGCTGGCACTCCAGTGCTTTGTTTGTTGCACCTCTTCGTGAAGTATGAGGTCACTGCAAAACCTACTAACAGGTACCAGTCGGTGAACCACAGCAATTTCTGTTTTTGTTTCTGCTTATTGCCTTCCTTTATGACTTCTTTCTTCTAAATGAGCAAATGAGTATGCATGCTCATTAAACAGAAATATTTGCACTCATCATCTTCCAGACAATCCTAACTAGACCTCACTCTCAAGGTGCTCTCTTTCAGGCTACAAAGCCTGAAATATGTAGACAGAGCAGTGGCAACATGATGAATAGCCTGAAAGAGTTATTCATCACATAAGCCACTGCTCTGCCTACATATTTATCCTAAAATATTCTAGGTTCTTCCTCTTCACCCTGCAGATTAGCCCACAAGCCAGATGCCCTAATCAAGGGAAATTGCCCTGTACTGCATATCGAGTGTTAGTCTGTTTTCTATAGGGTTGCCGTTCCACACCTTTCTCCCCCTCCTTTTCCCAGCCTTTTCCTTAGGCTGGCCCTGGCTTCTGCTTGACCATTCCCTGTACCAATTTAGCTTGATGAGCTGATGAATAACTAGCTCAACAGTGACAGTGAGTAGTTTTCTGCTGGTTTTGTGATCAGCACAGAGGAGGCTGATGATTGCACCCATGGAACTTCAGTTCCCTGGGGCTTCAGTTGGTCAGTGCTGGCTGCTCACAGACCTTTACTTTCTCTTGGCAAATATTCCTGCTCTGCCTCCTCTTCAGACCTTGCAGGTTTTGGAGCACCTCAGTTGTAGGACTGTTCTCTTTCACCGGGATTGGAAAAGCATATCACTGTATTACTTCTGCCTAGTCAGTGTCTGAACCACAGCACCCTGAAAATGACATGGGTAAATCAACCACCTTAAGATATCCTTATGACAGAAAAGCCTGACCTGAGTGATTAGAATTTGCCTTTGTTAAAGAAAGTTGAACAGAAGGTCTTAGATGGAAACCATGAGGCAACCTGAGCTATAGATACAGCCACCGAGTGAGCAAAAGTGAACTCTTCCCTAATGCACAGATGCTAGAGATTCAGATGCAAATAGGAGTTCAGGAGGAATTCCCCACACAGGTCTTCCACAGGAAGTTAGTTTAGCCTTTGTTGTTCAACTGTGAGTCAAGTTCTTAAGTCAGTTTTCTGCAGTGAAGAATCTGAGTTTGGAACAGCTGGCACTATATGGAAGGAGCAGCCTTGCTGTGCCCACACCACCAGCCAGCTCAGTTCTCTCCTTACTCATACTTCCCGCTCACCAAAATCACGTATGCCTACAAGAGATTACAGAACTATGGCCTATAAAA